CACGAATCACTGAGTGGCGTGATTGGTTGCATCACTCGGATTGGCCTCCGTGCGCGCAGTGACGTGGCTGATCTTGGCTGCGCCAGTCTGCCCACCGTGATTAGATGACGTAACCTTCGGGGGTGGACAGAACCCCCACCCTGACACGTCGATCAGTGAATTGTCCGTTCTCGGTTCTCGAGAGGGCGCCGCGGCCGTCATTTTCCAGGCTTGCGCCTGCCAGGTTTGGGCCCGAGGTCGTTTTCATTAAACCACGTTTTGAGGAGTTCCTGTCCAGCCCCGAAACCTGCTCCGGGCAGCCATCACAGCGTTCTGAGCTAAGCGTGCCAATTGGAGAATGTGCTGCAGGCTGCCTGAATTCTGATCTTCGCGCGCGCCTCCACACGAGTTGCTTCGACAGCTCGCGCGGCTCTGGCAGACTTCGTGATCCGCTGGGCCTGTGCAGAAAACAGCTGTGCGACCACACGTGTCCGACCTCCCCGGGTGAAGACCATTTGAATGTGCTAGTAACTCTCGGAAAGTGCAGCTTATGTCGTTCGGTTTTCCGGACGAGGTAAGGCGCGTCGGGGAGATCACAATCGTAAGAAGCGGTTGATTTTTCAAACGTAGACTTAGAAAAGAGTCTCTCCATCGGATTGATCATGGACCGCAAGAGTTCTCGTTTTAGGATCCCAGACTCGGGTACCATGGCGTGCACATCTGTAGTCGGGACGCACAAGACTTGACATCGGGCGAGCGAGCAGTCGTAGTGAGGGACACGCGTGCCTGACCCGACCCCCTCCATCAGGTGATGCTCCGCCGCACCAAGGAGGAGCGCAAGGCGCCGTCCTGATACCGCCCCCTCTTCCTCCCGAGGGCGAGCTGCAGATCGGGCCGACATGAAGTCTGCAGCTTGGGCGCAGATCATGGACAATGGCTCCATATCTACAGGCACATTAAAGAACCACAACCACAACTAAGTGTTTTAAGTTTTTTGTCGTGAGGGCCCCTCGGGCGAGAACCCACCGACCTCGACATAAGCACTTTGGTGGAAGTTGTGGTCGATGTGGCCGTCCTGGGACGCCACATCGACCACAGCCAGTGTGAAGCTGGACTCGGTGTTCCGACAGTTTCTGGCATGCGCAAGACATCCCCCGGGGTGTGTCCTCGATGTGGCTGTGGTCGCCTGCTGTCCCCGCGAGAGCCAGCGCGGAACGCTCGCGGAGAGGTCGGCGAGGCTCGTCGCGGTGTCTCCTTCTCTGCACGGGCCAGGCGCGCACTTCGGTGCGTCGAGCGAGCCGGCCAGATTCTGTGTGGAGGGCGCCCGGCAGGGCCCTCTGCGTTCCTGCGGGCTGCCAGGGCCAACTCAGGTCGAACCCTTGGAGGGTGGACTGTCGGCGGGGAGAAGCAAGAAGAGGAGGAGGAGGAGGAGGAGGAGGAGGAGGAGGAGGAGGAGGAGGAGGAGGGGAGGATGGGGAGGGGGAGAAGGGGGAGGCAGGAGGAGGAGGCGGAGGAGGAGGAGGAGGAGGAGGAGGAGGAGGAGGAGGAGGAGGAGGAGGAGGAGGAGGAAGGAGGAGGAGGAGGAGAGCAGGGGGAGGGGGAGGAGGAGGAGGGGAGGAGAAGAGGAGGAGGGATGAGGAGGGGGAGAGAGGAAGAGGAAGGAGGAGGAGGAGGAGGAGGAGGATAGGAGGAGAGGAGGGAGGAGGAAAGAGGAGGAGGAGGAGGAGGAGGAGGAGGAGGAGGAGGAAGAGGAGGAGGAGGAGGAGGAGGAGGAGGGGGAGGAGTTTCGAGACCAGTTCAGCGGGCGAGGCTCCAATGGCGCGCCCCGCCCTTCACCCCACTCTCCCTCCGCCCAGCCCTTCTTCCTCCTGGGATCGGACGGGGCTAGGACGACGATAAGTCTGTTCCACAGCGTTTCGGGGGCCCTCGCCGGGCCCCGGGACAGTCAACAAACGATTTGGAATGACAAGCCAGTTCCGAGGAAGGGGTCCAGGCCTGCGGGGGTCCACGTTTCGGACAGGGCTAGGACGAGGATAGATCCGTTCCAGAGCGTTCCAGATCGCTCCCAGAGCGTTCTGGCTAGCTCCCAGAGCGTTCCGGAACTCTGAGAACGCCGCGGCGCTCGAGGCATCATTCAGAGCCGCCAGATCTCAGATATTCTCGATTTACGCATCCTCACCCGATGTTATATCTTCGTCCTGGCTTCTTCTTACGGGAAGGGTGTTAGTGTTGATCTTTGAAAGTCTAGATGTTTCCAGCCCATCCAGAAACGAAGTCCAGGTGAGTTAAGGTGATCAGGGAAGTGCGGGATCAAAGAGGTGGACGGCCGAACCGTGCCAAGGAGGAAGGACGAGAAGGAGGAGGCTGGATGGATGAATGAGGGAGTTGGGAGAAGGAAGATGAATAGGATGATCAGGAGGAGGAGGAGGAGGAAGAGAAGGAGTTGGAGGAGGAAGGAGGAGCAGGAGGAGGAGGGCAAGCAAAAGGGCCAGAGGTATCTTGGATGCCTCCCGGAGCCTCTTGGGATATCTCCTGGGCGCTTCTTGGAGGCCTCTTGGGACGCCTTGGGGGTCTCGCGGCGGTCCTGGGGGGCTCTTGGGCGTCTTGGGTGCCTCGGGGGGGCCTCTTGGGGCCGCTTGGGGTCTTCTGGGAGGCCTCCTGGGGGCCTCTTTGGGCCATCTTGGAGCCATCTTTGGGCCATCTTGGGGCCTCTTGGCGCCTCCTGGGCGCCTCTTGCGGCCGCCTTGGAGGAGATCGATCAAAGAAGGGGGGAGCTTCAATTAGCCTCCCCCCATCCCCCCAAATCACCTCTTGGCCCCTCTTGGAGCGCTCTTGAGTGCTCTTTGGGCCGTCTTGGGGCTCTCTGGGGCGTCTCTTGGGGCCCTTATGGGCCCTCTTGGAGCTGTCTGGAGGCCTCGGAAGGCCATGGGAAGCGAAAAGGCGAGAAGGCAAAATTCATTGATTTCCCTTGGGTGTTTGAAGGATGTTGGCTTCTTGGCGGCCTCCTGGGGCTCCGTGGCCGTTCGGAGCCATCTTGAAGAGGTCGTGGGGTCTCTTGGAGCATCTTGGGAGCCATCTTGACGCATCTGGGGATATTTTGGCCAATCTTGGAGGTCATCTTGGGCTCTTTGAGGCCCTCTTGGAGCCATATTGGACCATCTTGGACGCTCCAACGACCCGCGAGTCGCCCCGTGCAGGTCCAGGTGAGAAGGGTAAGGGGTAGGGGTAAACCCCTCCCCGAAGGGGAAGAGAGAGGGGTGGAAGAGGAAACGCCCTAAACCACCTACGCCCAGAGGGCTGGTGGGATTTGCAGCAACGTGCCAAGAGGGGCTCTCGGAGCTTTCGCTGGACTGCGCTTCCCAGAAAACCCACGACCCTGTGATGCGAAGGCCTCCCCTTCTCGCCCTCCACTGCCCTCTGCATTCTCCCCGCTCGTGCAGGCGCAGCCAGTCGAGAAGCATCCAGGTCCGAGGAGGACGCGTATGAGGAGAGGCTTGGGGGGAGAGCAGGAGTAGGGACGGCCGTGGGGAGGGGAGGGAGGGAGGAAGCTGCACATCAGGGGGGCGAAGGGAGGGATGAGGAAGAAGCGAACAAACAAACACATAAAGATGATGATCAGAAGAATAGCGTGGAGGCGGCAGAGGATGACGAGGGAGCTTGGCTCCTGACTCGGTGTCCTTGTGACGAGTCACATGCGAACCCCAGCCCGCAAGCGGTAGGCCTGTGCCTTGTCTGATGATATTGCGACCCGTTTGGCTCGATTTTCCACCAATATTCGACACAAAGTCTACATGCAGTATGCTCTCACGTGCAATCACGCTCCATGGCTTCTCGGTTTCACAAATCAAGACGCTTGGTTGTATGTCCCGCACCACCATGGTTGCATCCACTCGAGTGGGTATGTTGATGTCCATCTGTTTATATATATATACACATAAATAGATACACCTGTGTAGTCGTGGATCCCCTTCGGGGGGTCATCCGTTAACAATGGAACGATACGGAGAAGATTAGCTTGGCCCCTGCGTAAGTATGGCACGCGCACGAATCAAGACATGTTGTTAACCCTGCGCGCACGAACGGAATATGTACCTACGTCTTGGCACCAGTCCGTCACGCAGACCCCTACGCGCGGATGCACACGAGTATTGTCAAGTCCACTGGGACCGGCCACGTCCGAGACAGGGCCTCGCCGTGGAGCCTCGAGCGAAAAAGTTGGCGTCCTCTCGGCGGGCGCCCGCGGAAGTACACCGCGGGGGCGGCTCCGCCCGCGGACGCCCGCGGAAGCCCGAGGTGCGCCCTCGAGAGGTGGCCACAGCCTGGGGCCCGGGGGCCTCGGGCACCGGCCACATGCACTGGGGGCCTGTGCTCGGGGGGCGGAAAAGAGGGGGGTGATGACTAGGGTCAAGGACGGAAAAACCACCCCGACCCCGACAATCCGCGTTTACTAAACAGCCCTGGGCGTTTACTAAACAGCCCTGCCCTGTTCGATTCCTTCCATGGGCGCGTTTACTAAACGGCTTCGCTTGTCGGGGTGCTTCTTATGGGGGTGGATTTTCTGCTCTCTATAGGGTGGGGGGGGATATCATGGCGTGGGCCATGATGTTTCCCCAGATCTCATGGCGCCCCTTCTTATTTCTTTACGTCCCTGGCCCCCCCGCTGGGCCGCGCACGTGCCGCCGGTCATGATTTGCACCCCCCCCCCTCTCAGACACCCCCCTCTTGGCCGCTCCCGATGTGCCAAGAAGCGCCCTGCTTGCCTCCAGGGTGCCCTGGGCTCTTCTTTGGTTTCCATGGTTTTTCCGGTGGAAGGCGTGACGTTCCCACACCAAGAATCGATGGACTTCCTGTGGAAGGCGTGGCGTTCCCTCATCAGACACCGGTGGACGTGCGGGGGTCTCAGGGTTGCGTTTACCGTGGAGGGTTTTTGGTGGTCCAGCTCCTTCTGCAGGGGGGGAGGGGGCCGAACGAAGGCAGGGTGCCATCCCCCCCCTGTTACAGGAAGAGGGGCCCGGCCCCAGGCCGACCTGCATCTGCCGCCGATCAAGGTGATGATCCGCAAGGACGGCCGCTGCAGCAGCATCATCTGGGCCACCCGCAGCTTTGTTCAGCCACGCGCAGAGAGGGGTGGGGGGAGGGGGAGGGCTTCTTAGAAGCATCCCTGCTTCTTAGAAGGCGCGGGCCTTAATATATATTAATATATATTATATAATATATAATATATATATATATATTAATAAAAATTAAAAATAATAATAATAATAATAATATAATTATATAATATATTATACATAATATAATATAATATAATATAATATAATATACTATACTACTATACTATATATACTATAACATAAATATAATTATAATTTAATTAATATAATATAATATTATATAATAATATAATATATATAGAGAGAGATGTAAGGCCGGCGCCTTCTAAGAAGCAGCCTGCTTCTAAGAAGCCCTACCCCCTCCCCCCACCCCCTTGTGCGCGCCGCCAATTTGTGGGCCCCGGAAAGGGCAGGGCCGTTTTTTCACCGTTTCCCCAAAAAATGTTGGCCCTTGCAAATGGAGACGGCAGAAAAATTGCGACCGGAAACGGCAAACAAAAACGGCTCCAGGATTGGAACCGGAGCCGGAACTGGTCAAAAAAACCGCTACGGAACTGGTAAAACGGCGTCGGAGCCGGCAAAAAAACGGCAAAACGGAACCGGTAAAAATACGGCCTTGTCATTTCCAGGGCCCACTAAGACCCGCAGAGGGCTGGCCATCGCTCGGACGTCCATTCCCTGTGTTTTTGTCGGTTTCGTGCGTGGCTTTTTCGCCAAGTGATCGAGGATGCTCCTCGATGGTCCTCGCCGAAGGAAAAATGCACACGTCCGAGCGATGCCAAGAGGGGGCTTGGACATGTTCGCGCTTCGGGCGTCGCGGCCTGTGGCGGAGAGGTGCTGTTCCCCCTGGTGGCGGCGCGAGGGCACGAAGACAAGCGCGCATCGCCCCGGCGAATGGAATATTGTTCGTGTAGGCGGTTTGGATTGTCGTGCTTGTGCCTTTCCACGTTGTCTCTCCCTCGCTGCTCGCCTCTTCAAAAGAGGCGCGCGAATGACGCGCAGCGTTCCAGGCCCGTTCGATCGGCGGCTATGTTTTTGACCGATATGCAGACCGAATCGACATCGTTGGTCAGTCCGAGTTGAGCGACAAGGCCAGATGTGTTACGAAAAGAGACCAGTTCAGCCAGATGTCTACCTAGATGACTGCGTGCCGCCAGATCTGCACAAGACAAGACGTATCATGGATGGTTTCCAATCGTCACACCAAACTGATTTCCAATCGTCACACCAAGGGTTCACGCTCAAGCACTGGTGTCCAGTCGTCACGCCAAGGGGGCAGAAGTAGGTTCCGTGGCCGCGGCACCAGCAATTCAGACAGTGCGATGATCAAAAGGCCTTAGGCCCATCCCGCCCCCGTGCCTGGGTTGTAACTCTGACGCCTCTTGGATGTTCGCTGGGACCTCGTCGAGGCCTCTCGGAGACTGCCTGGAAACAGTTTTGAAGCCTCTGGGGGGCTTTTTTGTTGCATATTAGGGCCGCGGCACCAGCAATTCAGACAGTGCGATGATCAAAAGGCCTTAGGCCCATCCCGCCCCCGTGCCTGGGTTGTAACTCTGACGCCTCTTGGATGTTCGCTGGGACCTCGTCGAGGCCTCTCGGAGACTGCCTGGAAACAGTTTTGAAGCCTCTGGGGGGCTTTTTTGTTGCATATTAGGGCCTCGTGGCGGCCTCTCGGGGGCCTCTTGAGGCATTTTGGGGGCCTCTTGGGGGCCTCTTGGGGCCTCCTCGGCGCTTCTTGAAGCGGAAGGTTCGGATTTTGGATGCGTGTGCCCTCTCTTGGAACCGTCGTGGGGCCTTCTGGGGCCGTCTCGGAGCGGTCTTGGGGGCCTTTTGGGACGTCCTGGAGCGTCGAAAGCTCGAAAAGTGGACATCCCAAGCAACATTGAACAAACCTAGGAAACATCAATGAGCTTGGCCTCTCGGGGACTTTTTGGGAAGGCTCGTAGGACCTCTCCTTAGGCGTCTCGAAGGCTTCTTGGGCCGTCTTGGGGCCATTCTGGGCGTATTTGACCGGTCTTGGACCGTCTGGGCAGCCTTTGGGGTTGTCTTGGGCCCCTCTTGGTCTCGAAAAAATCATGTGCCACCTTTCGGGTGAGGCCAGAGGGCACGCCAGGAACCCCAGGAGGTTTGGCAATTTGGGGTCCGGGTCCTTTCTGAAAAATCCCAAGGATTGACGACTGCGGCTTAAGGGATTAGGCCAGGCACTTGAGGACCTCAAGGCACGGTAGCGGCTCTATTATATATGTATGTATATAAAGAGCATATTGAAATCCGTAGCCATTTTGGCTCAAGGCCATGAACCGTCCCGACGACCGCGAGTCTTTTGGGGCGCCTCCAGAGCGCGAGGGAGGTTCCGTTTTGAGGCCACTCTCCAGCCCAGTTCTCTGGCGTCTCGGTTTACAGCATATCTACTTCTTACATCCCCTGCGGGGGCAACTGAGGTTTCATCCCTCACTCCTTTGCCATCGCTCCGCACGTCCTCTTCGATGCCTGATGGCCCTGTGGACTCTTCTCAGCATAGTGGTGCTAGTGGCGGGCGCGTGGGTGGTGCTAAAGAGGTCCTCGGGAAGAGTGGCGGGCGAGGCTCGGCCAGTGCTGCTTCCGCGTCGAGGCCCAGGCACTACGTCAACGGCGACCAGTCTGAGGAGACGAGCAGCAAAGCCAGCCGTGTCGACTCGCTCATCGAGGCTGACCCGTGGCGCCAGGCGAGTAGCCTTGCGGCAGGCTCGTCTGGGGGTTGCGGGGCGGCCGCGGCGGTGGAGGCTGGCGCTCCTTTTCACGTTCCTGCCTCTCCTGGGCCTACTCCTGGTACGCCAGCCGTCCTTGACGAGCGCGTCGTGCGCCGCTGCGACCTGGATGACATCCTCAACACGCTCCGACCCGACATCACCCAGTCGGTGCACGCGTCGGTTGCCGAAGCCAGCCAAGATGGGGCGCAACATTCATGAGGGGGCGGCCAAAGCTGTTCGCGCCCTCGCTGTTCGACAGGAAGCTTTCAATGAGGAAATAGGCCTCAGAGTGCGCGACCTCGACTCCTCGGCAAGATATCTTGGAGCGCTCACACAAGGCGATGCAGGATGAGGTCAAGCGGCTCCAGCAGATTGCTCATCAGCGTGAGCAGGCGGTGCCTGCTGGATACGACGTCGCCGAGAATGCCAGCTTCACCAGGGAGCCAAACCATGCCATCTTCACGGCCACCACACAGGAGCCCGTCGCGAAGGAAGAGGTCCGTACCAGCGTCCTTGAGTGGATGGCGGCGGGCGGCCTCTCAGAGGACCAATGGGAGATTCGAGGTGATAGCCCAGGACGGCGCTACATTGCGCAATTCAGAGGTGCTGGGGGCCTCGCCGCGCGCCACGTCCAGCAGGCTTTCAAGAAGCTCAGGCTGGACAACGGTGCCTGGAGGCGCTTCGAAGCCACGACCCCTGCTGGCGCTCGGACTTCTTTGTTCATCAGCTTGGACAAGAATGCGCAGATGGTTCGCCGCGAGATCCAGACGAAGAAGCTCCTCGAGATCATCAAGCGCGAGGGCCTACCTGGTCGTTGGCGAGCGAACAGAGCGCAAGGAGTCATTTATCAAGGATCCTCCCCCGTGGTCAGGGTCATCATTCCCGACGAAGCGAGCGAGGCGACTTGCCTTCAATGGAACAATCGCATGGTCACTGATCTTGGCCTGGACAAGTCTCCTGTCAAGGACGCCTTCGAGGGCTTTTGTCGGCGAGGCTGAGCGAGTACAGTGGTCTTTTTAACGATCGATTTGCGTGCTTGCGACCACCGTCTGCGTCATCAGCACCGCTTGCGATGGGCACGTGGAACTCGCGCGCCCTACTCCATCACGACCGACGGGCTGGTGGTGTTCGTGAACACAAGCTTCAATATCTGGCACAACACCTACGCCGTGGCACTGCCATGGCGCTTCAGGAGGTCCACGGGGCCAAGGCGGAGCTACGTCAGGCGCTCCATCGGCTTCGCATTCCGCACCGCGCCTTCTGTCCCTTTCTTCCTCAAGCGGACGCTGGGGGAGTGGCTCTCATCATTCCCTGTGATCCTGGGGTCGAGCGCAGGGCACGGTTCGCGCACGAGACCTCTCGCGCGTGGTCGGGCGCAGTGTCTACGCATATCTGGCATCCCTGCCCAGGCTGCGACTCACGCATGCAGCACGGTCATATACAATGTGCACAACTTCAATCTGACGGACGGTGAGAGGGAGGAGTTGCGAGCAAAGTTATCGGCGGACCTCGCCATGGCCGACCTGGCTCCCGAGCGGGTCACAGCGTTCTTGCTCGGCGACTTCAACATCTACAAGCAGCTGCCGATGTGCCCACGGGCTCCTGAGATTGACCGTCGGCGGAGCTCTGGCGACACGGCCCGCAGGCCGCATGAAGGGCACTGGAAGGAGCTCTTCAATCGAATGGTGGAGATCGACAATGATCTGCCGACGCATTATGTGGTCAACGAGTGGCAGCCCAAGCTCACGCAGATCGATCGGGTCTTCGTTTCGTTGCCAAGTTGGCAGGTGCTCCAACATCACATGTGCGCGCTCACTCCTGAGTACCCCGAGCTACTGCATGAGAGAGGACTTAGTGACCATGCGCCTGTCATCATGAGCATCGAGGTGCGCAGTGAGGCAGAGGCGACGGAGCAGAGGATACCTTTGCATTTCTTCAAGGACCCCGAGTTCAAACGCCAGCACGATCGCCTCCGACCCTTGGTGGACTGGTCGAGCCTGCCGGCACGGAGTAGGCGCAAGAGACACAAGGAGCTGATGTGCGAGGCCGCCAAGCATGCGCGCAACTTGCGGCTGCAGCGCCCACTTGGCGAGACCAAGCTGATGGCATTCCGTTCGATGTCAAGGGCGGTCTGGCGCGATGACGTGGGACTCGGACGTCGGCTACTTCAATCCTGTGAGCTCGCTAGCACTTACCTCAATGCGACGGAGACGGAGGTAAATCTTATCCACCCCCGTCCTTCGCCAGGGACTTCGCTCAGGAGCAGCAGTTGCACTTTGAGGCGCGGTCGGCTGCGCTCGATGAGAGGGAGAAGAAGGCCTTCGACAGCACCTCGTTCAAGGCAGTCCGCAGGAAGCTCAATCGTCGGGCGGCCCTGTGGGCGCCCTTCGGCCGCTCGCTCAAGCTGCAGGGCACCAATGTGCCTGCGCAGGGTGGCGGTGTCCAGGTTCTCCACGGCCAGGAGGACATGGCGGGGGCGCTCCGCGACCATTGGGCCCCCATCTTCCAGGCCAAGACGCAGGTCGACGGGTGGGAGAGCCTGGCCGAGCGCTACATGAAGGACCACGCCCCGAAGCTGGAAGTGGCGGACATCTTGCCGCCTGACAAGCGTTCGCTGCTGCGAGCGGCGGCGAGGGCTAAGGAGTCTGCACCAGGCCCAGACGGGCTGCCGTACATGGCATGGCGGTCGTGCCCCGCGGCAGCGGCGTCCATCGAGGATGTGGCGCTTGACATTGTAGCGGGCTTACCGCCGCCAATCGACTGGAACGATCACCTGCTGGCCTTCCTCCCCAAGGGGTCCTTCGAGGAGGACCTTGCTGACGGACTTCATCGGTCTCCCGGGTCAACTCGGGCAATCGCTTTCAAGAATTCAGATTGCAAGCTGGTCGCTGCGGCGGCCAACTTCAGCCTTCAAGGCGCGTTGGAATGCGCATCACCTACTCCGCAGCGTGGATTTCTGCGGGGGCGGAACTTCCTGGACAACATCACGCTCTTGGACACGACTGCCCGCGTCGCGGGCTACCTGGATGATGCGGCCCCCCTCAAGCCCCTGATGGCGCTGTACGACTTCGGTGACGCGTTCCCGTCGATGATGGTGGAGCGGCCCATCGCGATGCTGGTCTTCTCAGGCTTCGAGGGGGGCCTGCTTTTCACTCTTACGTCGCTGCACTGGCTGCCCACGGCGCACGTCCAGATGGCGGGCATGATGGTACACTTCGCGTGCATCACTTGCGGGCTGGCTCAGGGCTGCCCATCGTCAGGCTCGCTGTGGGCCATCATCATGACCCCCTTTATTCACCACATGCAGCGATGCACGGACAGGAGCTCGTGCTCGGCCCTGGGCGCGTGTGCGGATGACGTAGGCGCTGCGTTACGAGCGAGGCGGCTTCTTCTTGGCATGTGGAGGGCATTCGAGGCGGCCCGTGCGTTGGCAGGGCTGCGCTTGAAACTGGCCAAGTGCGTGCTCATTCCTTTGGACGGCCCCGTGACGGAGGAGTCCAAGCAAGAGTTCACGTTGTGGCTGCAGGCATGGATCCCGAGCCGGGCGGCCATGCCGGTTCGGGGCTACGCCGAGTATCTCGGGCACATGATCGGGCCAGGAGCGTCGGAGCAGGACATCTGGAGGAAGGCTGCCGCGAAGTGGCATGCGCGCGTCATCGACCTGGCCCAGTGCGGGGCTCACTCGTCGCTGTCGGCCAAGCTCTACAACCAGAGGATCCTTCCTGTGCTGGGCTACCTCCAGCAGGTTGCGCGGGCGCCCAAGGAGCTGTTGGATCGTGAGGCGCGGGCCATCACGAAGATCTGGCACATGCCGCCGCAGCGCTTGGCCAGGAACGATCTTCTCAGTCTGGGGCAGTGGGCGCCGTCGCTGAGGATCAGGTCTACGCAGGCCACAGGACTCGCGCCCCTCATGAGAGCTGCGACGGTCAGGATCACCAACTGGCAGAGCCTGCACTCATGGCTCCAGGAGCAGACGGTGAGCCACGGCTCACTCCTGGCGATCGGCCAGGCGAGGTGCACGCCCGTCCACTGGAAGACACGGCCAGCGGTGGTGAGCCTGACGGAGGCCTCCGAGGGCTTCGTGAGTGAGACACCGCTCGCAGGCCATGCCGCCCAGGCGTGGCGCGCCCTGGAGGCGGAGCGCGCTGCTGCCGAGGAGAGGGCGGCACGCGTGCGGGCCCAGAAAACTATTTCTCGTTCCCTTCACTCCTCCCTTTACCCCGACGTTCTCCCCAGTGTGCTGGCGCGGCGTCAGCAATCTTGGGGCCTCAGTGCTGTTCGCCGCTCCAGGCCTCCTCTCCGTGGTATACTCGAGCAGGTCAGCCCTGCGCGGCAGAGTGCAGTGCTGAAGACGATAGTGGGAGCGCGGCTAACAACGGCCAGGCCCCACACGGCGGGCGGAGCATAGGCTTGTAAATTTTGTTTCCGTGAGCCCCCGCTGATCCCAGCCCCAGATACTTTTGCTCACTACCTCCAGTGTGAAGTTTTGTGGGGTCTGGCCGATCCAAGGGACCGTGACCCCCCGTCTTGTATTCTGGCCAGGATCGGGCTCAATGGAGCCCCGACTCTCGAGGCCGTGGAGGCCATTTTCATGGCGTTCCACATGTACAACACTGCGCGTGTCTCGCATCCGCCGTCGCTCCAGCAAGAGGAGTGGGCTGGTCATATATACGAAATTCGACGAGCAGCAGTGGCTCTCGTGGAGTTAACTAGAGTGCCCGCGTAGGCCTCGGAAGGACACTAGTGGCGCCCCTCATGTACGAGCGATAAAGAGCATATTGAAATTGGATTGGCATCATGTATCCGCGATGAGAAAGGTGTATCAACGATGAAACCCAGTGGCGAAATATTCAGGCAGTGGTTATACAAAAATATTGGATGCAGCCAGTGCCATGATTATCGATGAAGCCGCTGACTACTTCGTTAAAACACAGCTGTCTCATCAATACCAGCGCCAGCGACTGTTGTAGAAACGCCTTGGGCGCTCTCACAAGGAGTGAGCGTTTGAGACGATCGTGGAAGTTCTATCTTCGATCAGGAGACTCTTGGACGCATATGAGGGTCTCTTGGGATGCCACTCTGGGGCCTCTTGACGAACTCGCCTGGGAGGCTTTGGGGGGCCAGGCGGGGGCCTCTTGGGGGCTTCTTGGGTGCGTCTCGAAGGCCTCTTGGAGGGCCCTCGGGGGCCTCTGGGGGGCTCGAGGGGCCATCCTGTGAGCCTGCGGGGGAGAGGCTCGAGAGATGTCAGTTCGTTTTCCCCCTTCTTGGGCTTTTTCTTGAGCCTCGTCGTACGTGTTGATGTTTACCTCTGCGGCAGACCCAGGTCGGGGCGGGGGCGGGGGGCGCGGCCGCCCACCGCCACCCCGCCACCCCCCCCCCAACCACCTGCCCTGTCGCCGAGGACGCGCTGTCGCAGAGGAGCAGGACAGGAGCAGGATTTCTACCAGAGCCTGTACATGCAGTCGCGCGTCAGGCTCCACTGCATCCTAGTCCCCCTACAACTCATCACAATTTTTACCCCTCTCCCCCCTCCTCCCCCCCTCCCCCCCCCCCCCCCTCCCCTTCTCCCCCCCATCGTCCTACTCCCCCCTCCTCCTCCTCCTCCTCCTCCATCCTCCTCCTCCTCCTCCTCTCCTCATCCTCCTCCTTACTCCCCCCTCCTCCAACTCCTCCTCATGCCCTCCTCCTTCCTCTCCTCCTCCTCCTCCTCCTCCTCTTCCTCCTCCTCCTCCTTCTTCTCCTCCCCCCGGCTTGGGCTTTCAGGAGGCACAGGCTGTGGTGGGCCGAAGTTCGTGACGGTCGGGAGCTCAAGCTAACCGACAATATTTGTTCGATGTGTTCGTCGTGCGGGGCCTATGCCAGGGGCTCGCACAAGAAGCCGTCCAGAGGGGGGATCCACGCTCCTTGCGACGGCAGGCCCAGCAGGGGCCATTGCAAGCATGTCGAATTGTCTTGGCGGGGTAAGTTTCCGAGGTGTGGGGATAGCCGAGTCGTTGGAAACGCGGCCCCCTCCCTTCGCTCGGCGTCCGTCAGGAGCGGTCCAGGGCCCTGGCCTCCCCGGTGGACGTCCTTGCCCCGCCCTCGGCCCAGGTTCCTCGGGACGCCCAGGGATCCAGGAGCCTGGACGCCGAGCGAGGGCTGGGATGTTTCGGGCGCCCGTGGGAGGAGGCGGCCTCGCTGGGTCAGGCCGCGCGTGACGCGAACCCGGCAGCAGCGGTTGCCAAGGCCAGAGATCGTTAGAGCCTTTGCCCACGACCCCCTCCTTGAATTATGTGTTCTGGTCTGATTTCAGGGAGTTGGGGTCGCTCCCCCTTTTCCGTGCATGTGATGGGGTCGCCCCCGTAACAGCCTAAGCCTGGACCTCCTCCCCCTCCTCCTTCTAGCAGTCTTGTGCCCAAGCAGTGGGCATTGCACACGCCGACTTCAGAGCAGCATTGCGTGTGCGAGCTGATCTTGGCTTCGGATATTTCCCTCTCAGTCCCTGTCATGACCAGGGATGGCGCCTGGCAGTCTCGCAGCAAAGGCTCGGCACCACGGTGGTGTGCGGGTGGCTCGCATGCGCCGTGGCGTTCGACGTCGAGCCCCCCAGCGGCTCACCAGGGCTCTGCGGGGCCCTTGGCCCAGGGGTTGGCGACGGCGGTCGTGGCGGTTCTGGTTACTACGCGTTGCGGTAGGAGGGGCAGGGTGTGCGGGTTGGCCGGCGTTGGCGTTGCGACCAATGCGGTTGCAAGAGGAACCTCGGTGGATGGATCGCTTGCAAGCACTGCGGTGCCAGCAGAGAGCGGAAAGCGGATATTTCGAGCCGTCCAATTTGTAGGGCAGTGGGTCGTCTTGGCCCGAGTTGCTGCTCCGCACTGGGCCAGTTCGGGCTCTCCCTCCTCATGGTGGCGGCGCTGGCGGTGGCCCTGGTGTTGGATCGTCTCTCACAGCAGATTGATGTGTGGGAAGAGTGGCGACACAGCGACGGCAGCCAAACACAAGGCGGCCGTCGAGCGCAATCCCCCTCTTCTATATTCCCCTCTTCTTTTCCCCCATCTGTCCTAATTGCGTCTGCCTTCTCCGTCAGTAATGTGTTTCTGCATCAGGTTTACCCCTCTCCATCGCTGTTCACGGACGTTGTGCTGCTGCTTGGTTCAAGCTGTAATGTTTGTTTCAATCATGGTGCGTGGATATGTGTGTGACACATGAGCACACATGTGAAGATACTTGTCTACATGTCTATATATACGTGTGTGTAACAGTGTGTGCGTATGTGCATGTACGCGCGTTATGTTGCGAACGATTTGCGCATTGAGAGACGCAGGTTCGACACATACGTCGAGAGCGGCACCATCTTGCACAATTATGCCCACATCTTTGACCTCCTGGCGCCAGCACCAGAGGGGGGGGACATGCATGGAACGAAGCCGGGGTTGCTGGCACAAATGCCGATTCCGAAGGCCTTACGGCAGGTGCCGCCGACCCTGAATGGGAACGACGAAAATGCCGATTGCGAAGGCGTTACGGGCGGTGCCGCCGACCCTCAAGGGGAACGACGACAACGGCGGTGGCGACGACGACGACGCTGACGTGGGTCAGAGTCCTCATGGATGCTTCTTGGGGTATCTTCGAAGCGCTCTCGGAGGCCTCTGGGGGACAGTTTATGGGGCCTTGGAGCCTCTTGGGGGCCTCTCATGACATCCTGGTGTCCCCTTGGGGGCCTCTTGGGGCCTCTTGGAGGCCTCTTGGTTCCTCCTGGAAGCCTCTCGGGGCCGAGGGCTCGAAATGACCGTTCTGGTCCCTCGTCTGGGCACCCTCTTGGAGCCATCTTGGGGGCCTCTTAGGCCGTCTTGGGGGCGTATTGGGCCGTCTTGGGGCCCTCATGGGCACTTTTGGGTTTCTCCTGGAGCCCTCTTGGGCCGTCTTGGGGCGATCTGGGGAGCCTCTTGGGCCGTCTTGGAGCGTCCGGAAGCGGAAGAGGCGAGAATGCCGAGATGCATCAAAACCAAGGGGAAGTCAATGATGTTTCTTTTTGGGGCCATCTTGTGAGTGCTCCTGGAGGCCTCTTGGGCTGTCTGGAAGCCGTGAAGGCGTATTGGACAGATCGTTAGGCGATTTTGGGCTCTCTTGGACCGTCTTGGGGGCCTTGTGGGCCACTCATGGTCCGTCTTGGAGCAGGTTCCAGTCGTGTCGATTTCGTGGGGGCTCCGCCGCGGGCGTTCCAGGCACAGCGCCTACAGTAGTTCAGAATTGATAGGTATGGAAATGTTCTCCACTTCGCAAAGCGCCAGTCGCTCAAGGTTGAGCGATCCACGCGGTGTCAGTCAGGGACCAACGCCAAAGTCATGACGACATGAACCCGCCGTACGGGCGGGTTCGCGAGGCGGCGCGGACGCACGGGCGGCCAGACTAGGCGGCGAACCTGGGGTGGAAGTGGGAAGGGGCGGGCCTTCTCAGAAGGCTCGGAAGGCTTCTGAGAAGCCCCGCCACCTTCTGAGAAGGCCTGCCCCGTCTCACTTGCCCCCAGGCTCGCCGCTTCGCAAAGCGCCGATCGCTCAAGGTGGAGCGATCCACGCAGTGTCAGGGACCAGCGCCGAAGTCGTCACGATACGAAGCCGCGCCCACGGAGCGCCCTGCGGCCGCTCAGACGTTGGGACCGTAGAAAGTAGTCGGCCGGGGGGGGGAAATGAGGCCAAATCCGCTCAGAATCGGCCCCCGTGGACCCCTCGCGGGTCCATCTGGCGCAGTGTTTCACCCAGAGTCCGTTTTGTCGACGGTTCGGCGGCCCGAGAACGGCCCCCTCGGAGGCAGACAAATGCAGCAGAAGCTCCTCGAACACAGGACCCCCCGAACTTGCCCGCCCGTCTTGCTCGCTGGACCCAGCGCTGGGCCACCTCGGACCCCCGGACGGCTCCAGCGCAGACGCACGGGCGGCGTCGTCGGCGTCGTCGGCGTCGTCCGTCGGCGGTCGAGGCCTTCCGCCGACGCCGTCGGTCGACCCCGTCGCTCGTCGAGGCCGAGGCTGTCGTCGTCGTCGTCGCCGTCGTCGGTCCGGCTGCACGTGCCGGGCCTGGCCACCGCGGCAGCGCGGCAGCGGAGGCCGTGCCGGAGGGGCCTGCCGACCTCCCCCGTGTCCGGGCGCGGGAGGAGGTGACGCCGCGGTGCGGCCCCAGGCGGCGAGCCCAGGGAGCCAAGGGCGCCCTCGAGGGCGCGAAGTTGTTCGCGCTTCGCGGTTCGGCTCCGACTCCTCCTCACCCTGCACTTCTCCCCTGGGAGGCGGCGCGAGAGCGCGAAGTGATTCGCGCAGCGCGAAGCGCGAAGCGCGAAGCTGGGAGCCCTTGCTTTCTGGGTGTGGGAGGAGGTGACGCCGCGGTGCGGCCCCGGGCTTAAGTCGGGCCTGTCCCTTCACAGGGGGGATATCCAAAAATAGTCAAGAAATAGTCTGGGGACTATTTTGTTGACCAGTTGTGAGCATTTGTAGGGCATCTGTTTCGTTTGTTTCATTTCCCTTCGAAAGTCCCCCCTGTAGGGGGACACGCCCGACTTAACCCCAGGCGGCGAGCCCAGGAAGCAGCAAAAGAGAGAGGGGGCGGGCCTTCTCAGGAGGCTCGGAAGGCCTCCGACCTTCTGCCAGGATGTCACAAAGTGTGACTTCGATCGTGTTGACGCCGAAGCGCCCAGAATAGAGACCCCCCCCCCAGCCGCGCCGGCAGCTCCCGACTGTTGCCGACAGGTGGGGCGTGCGGGAGGCGTCTGCTTGCGGCAGCTCGGTGCACCAGCGGATCGATCTTCTCGTGCCCCCCCCTCGAGGTCCCCCCCCCCCTGTGGTGGATCCCGATGCTGAGAAGGTCTCCGGGCTGTCCCCGAAGGCATGGGAAGCTGTTTGGGAAGGCTGGAGGGCTTCCGAGAAGTCCCGCCGCCTGCTGCGGATGCCCGCCCCCTCGATGATCGTCGTCGCCTGGCTCTTGGGTCGCAGCTCGGCTCTCCGGCGACCGTTCGGGACTATCCAGGCACCCCCTGAATGCTCTCGGCGAGGCGCAGCCGCTGGAACGCATCTCGATGCTGGAAACCGGCCGAGAACCGACGGAGACGCCCGAGAACCTCGAACCCGAAACTCGACGGCGAGCGAGGAGGGGAAGTGAGAAGGAGAAGGCCTTCTCAGAAGGCGGCGGGACTTCTCAGAAGCCGTCGCGCCTTCTGAGAAGTGTTCTGTGTCCGAGGGGAAAGCTTAGAAAACTGATCAGCAGGCTGAGGGACTCCCGAGCCTTCTGAGAAGGCCCGCCCCTTCTCACTTCCCTCCCTCGCTCGCCGCCGATCCTTCCTGTGAGAAGATGTTATGCCGTTTGGCAAGCTTCTGCCGTTTTCGGCCTGTTGGCCTCGCCGGGCCCTGGGACCGTCAAGTCCGACCTGGGACCGTCAAAAACTACCGCTTCGACAGCAGGTGTCCAGATGCTCGCCACGAGGGTGAACACGTTCGCGACAATTCAGGCAGCTCTCGTGCCGCTGGCGATGCGGTGCGATAAAGAGCAAGCTCCCCGGGGAAGGGTGTCTGGACCTCCGACCCGAGACGCACTCGGCCCCTTCTCCACGCGAAGGATGCATGCATATATTTGCACGGTCGCTCCACACTGCAGAGCACATCGCCAGCTTCGCACGGCTTGCGCTGCCCTCATCTCCGCCGTGCCTCCCACGAGCCTGCGAGAGTGGCCGCGGTCTCGCATCTCACAGCCACCCAGGGAGCAGCAGGGTCTCGGCATGGATTCGCATGGATTCGCTCGCCGCCGACCGAGGGTGCCTCTCACTGCCCCCCCGCTGCAGCGCTGGGCTCGGCGAGCCCTCCCGAGTCGAGGGGGGGCGGCGGCGCCGCGGTGCCCCGGCGGGGCGGCGGGGCCGTGCCGTTGCAGGGCGTCTTGCTCCGGTCCTCGGGCAGTCTGGTTGGAAGGCTCTCGGGGACTCCGAAGAAGAATCAACTGCATACCCGCCAGTCGTTGAGAGTAGGTATGTCTGGATCCCCAGATCCCAATCTACTTGGGGCGTCTGGGGGGCTCCCCGAAGTTCTCCCAGGGTAAGCTTGAGCCTAAAAGCCTTGGGTGCAAGGAAACAAACACATTCCTCCTAAGGTTCATTTGATGTTCTGGCTTGCCTCCGAAAGTCTTGCTGGAGGACTTCTTGAGCACCTTTTGGAGGTTTCGCGCGGCCTGTTGGGGGCATGTTTGGGTCTTTCTCGGAAGCTCTTAGGTTTGTGTTGTAGCCGTGTGTCGAGACCAGTTCTCGCGGGTTGGTCTTAGGCTCTCTGAGGGGAAGTGATCCTTACAGGGGAATCTACAGGAAGTTGACCAAACAGTTGACGAGCCGAGGGTCGTGAGGCGGACTTTCCCACTCACTCGTCCATGTGCGACAGTTGAACCCGATATAAGATAGACCGTCGTCGATTTGGCAACCAAAGGCGGGTGTGTCATCACGGCGAAAAGATGCGATCGGCGAGGAAGCATGGTGAGGAGGTGGCAGAGAGAGAGACAGAGAGAGAAGACCTCGGTGGGTGGGGTCCAGAATGGGCAAAATCGAGGCACGCGGTGTCCAAGGATGTCCCCCTTCGGGGGAGCGCAGCCGGAGCAGGTGGTGGGGGTCAGCGGCGGAGGCAGCGGCGGAACGACGACCAGAGGGTGAAACAGTGTTTTGTCCGTTTTGTTCTTTTCTCGCTAGTGGCCGCCAAGGCGATCGTTGCTTGACTCACTGCTTTGCCGATCGGCGCGGGCCCCCCAACCCCCCTTCCCTTCCCCCCCCCTTAAAGTAAATCTTGGCTGTTCTTGGCGTCTGTTTCGAGCAGGTGGAGTGTCCCCCAGAGGACGCACGGTTCCAAACAGCCGCACTAAGCAGAGGTCCAGAGCCAGACACCTCCCCCTCCCCCTTTCTGCCCAATGTCGAAACGCCGAATACAAAAACGCTCACAAGCAGAATCGGCAAAGGCTTGCGTTAACCGCCGCAAGAGAATACACGTCTCATGCCCACTACCGCCTACAGTGTGCCTGGCTTGCCTGCTCGGCCCCACAACGTCACAGCTTGTGTGCTCAGTTCTCGGGCGCGCTCCCGACAAGTGTGGCCTGCAGATGTGCGCTTCGCGCTCACAGCGCAGAGCTCGCAACTGAGTTCGGTAACTTCGGAACACGTTCACTCGTGTCATGCGGAAGCCATGTGTTGCACCATCGGGAGCACATCAGAGTGAGAGGGGGCCGGTCTTGCGCTGTCCCCGGGCGAGTGGCTGACATGGGGTTCCGCGGTGTCGATTCTCGCCCGCCCGCTCTGCTGCCCCGCCCGATCCGCCCGCCCGACCCGCCAGTTGGAGCTCGCTCACCCGACCCGCTCGTCAGGGTCCGCCCGCTCGACTCGCCCGCTGCTGTCGTCCACCCGTCCGCTTGCTTGGAAGCCCGGCCGCCTGTTGAAGTGCCCCGCCCGCCCTGCCAGGTCGTTGAGGTTCTCCCGCCCGACGCGCCGTTTTGGGTCCGCCCGCCAGTCTTCCTGCTCTTCTCTACCCGCACCCCCTCGCCGTGCTAGACTTGCTGGTGTGTCCTCAACGTCCCTCCCTTCCTCGTGCCCCCCTCCCTTGCAGTTTCCCCCTCACGTTGTCCTGCCCCCCTCCGATTTCAAAGGGCAGAACTACACGTGGCAGACAAGGGAGAGACGGCCCCACAGGGGGCACGATCGAAGACGAAGAAATCGATGTTCAAGGGCTCGTGGGAATTTCAGAGTGAGGGGGCCGAACGGTCATTCACTGTGCCTGGGCGCCTGGCTGAAGTGAGGTTCTGCGCTGCGGATGGTTTTTTTTTGTTGTTTGTTGTTCGTTGTTTGTTGTTGTTTGTTGTCGCCGTCCCCCCGCGACCCGGCCCGCGAACCACCCGGCGACCCACCTGTGACCCACCCCGCGACCCACCCGCGACCCACCCACGACCCACCCGCGACCCACCCGTGACCTGGCCCGCGACCCACCCGCGACCTGGCCCGCGACCCACTTGCGACCCACCCGCGACCCACCAACATTATCTTAACGGAAAAATCGGCGTTGGCGGCGGGCTCGTGGTGTGATCTGTAAACATGCAGCGCCTGCGGTGTTTTTTTTGTTTCCAGAGCCTCGCAGTCTGCCGACGTCCCCGCCACCCCCGTCACTCTTATCCGCAACTGCGGGGTGCTATGTACACCTTATGCGATGCTTAAGAAAACCTAAGTTTTCGGCCAGAGTCTCGATTATTCTTAACGTTTCAATGTAAATCCCAAGATTTTGATAGAAGTTCTGGGTTTTATTCAATTTCTGAGACCATGAATTTCTTAACCCATGATTTCTTAAGCATTTCGCAGAGTGTACATGTTGGGTTGCACGCGGGCAGCGAAGATCGAACACTCTTAAGAGAGAGTTGTCTCTGTCGTCGTCGTCGCCCCCGCGCCCCGCCCTCCGACCCACCCGCGACCGCCTCGTCGTCGACTCACGCGACCCATCCCTGACCCAGCGCTTGCGACGGCTCCTCCTCCTCCTCCTCCCCCTCCTCCTCCTCCTCCTCCTCCCCCTCCTCCTCCTCCTCCTCCTCCTCCTCCTCCTCGATCGATTTGAAGAGGGGTCGACGCCTGCGGCGGGCTTGTCCACATGTGCGCTCGAGCCTCGCAGCCTCGGCAGGGTAGCTCAGCTCCCCCCCCCCCGGTGTGGTGCACTCGCCAGAGTCGGGCACAGCCTCTCCGACTCGAGGCCCTGGGCGCCGCCGCGCGGCGCCACGACCGCTCAGCGCGCGCGTCGCAAAACAACCTTCACTCTCAGCCGCAATGGTAAAGGTTGGGTACCTCCGCGCTTGCTGCTGCCATGCGACACGCTTCGTTTATCAACCGAAGGCATGTAGCTCCATATGACGAACGCGTGACTGATTCCAGGTTCCATTGTCATGGTTCTCTACTGGCTGCGCAGCGACACCCAGCATTGCGTAGAAATCCCTAGCAACGCCTAGCGACGCCAAACAATGCCAAAAAATACCAAGGCCAGCCGATGCAAACAATTGCCAAGTGATATCAAACCATGCGAAGCAATACCAAGCAACGCCCAGCAATACCAGGCAACGCCAAGCAATGCACAGACATACCAAGCAATTCCCAGCAACGCCAGGCAACGCAAAAGCAATGCAAACCAAGGCAATGCCCAGCAAGGTAATACTCGGTCAAGGAATACTAAGCAATGCCGTTTATGAAGCGTTACCCTACTTGGGGTTGCGTCGGGGGTCGGCGAATCGGTTGTAAGGGGAGGAGGTTGCGCGGTTGAGGGTGCTAGCATCTCACGCATGACGCCTTCTGAAAATTGCTACGGACGCAGGGAGGTTCAACGCGGGAGGATATCCCCACGCAAACCCCGACGCATACACATGCGGCATGAAAGCTCACCATTACCATTATCCCATTGATTGTACATTACGGCATCACTTGATGCTACCATGCGACATCTTTCCCACAGTACAGGCGAAACGCGTATTGTGTTCAGCATAAGTAGATACACACACGCACGCATTTTTTTCGTCGCGCGGCTGCTTCTATATCGCGGGAGCGACGCAACGGCACACGATTGCTTTGAAGAGGTTTCTTTGGGAAGTGGTGCGACAGCCGGAAGCGAGAAACGCGGAAATGTAAATCTTGGCTTGGAGAAGCAAACGGCGCAGGAACATTGAAAAAGGCGCACGCAAACCCACACACGCACACACACAAACGCACACACACACAGACACACACACACAAACACAAACACACACACACAAACATAAACACATACACGCACACATACATACATACGTACGTACATACGTACACACACGTTGGCGGCGAGCTATGGGGGCGAAATGAAAGAGTAGTGGGCCTTTTCAGAAGGCAGCAGGGTTTCCCAGAAGGCTTCTGGCCTTCGGAATGGTTTCCTGTGTGTTCGGGGGAAGCTTAGAAAACGTTCCAGAAGGCTGTGGGATTCCCAAGCCTTCTGTAAGGGCACGTTCTTTTTCACTCCCCCCCTCGTTCGCCGCCGAACACACACACACACACACACACACACACACACACACACACACACACACACACACACACACACACACAAAACACACACACGCACACACACACACATACAGACGCACACACACACACATTCCAATTCCTTCACACCTTTCGCCATGCCCGCCGCACCATCCCAGCGCTCCCCCCCCGCCGGCTACCACGCCCTCGCTGCGCCCTCCCCCACTCTCCAGTTCCCTCCCCCTCTCTCCCTCCTGTCGGCATCGTTCGGACGTGCGCCTTTCTCCTCCCGTCGCCAGACGTCCTTGCGCCGTGCCGTGGACCACCCGTACCTGATTGTACACGGCGGCGTTTTGCTTGCTTTCTCTCCCTCTCTCGCTCTCCCTCTTCGTTGGGCAGGCCCCAGGACCGTTCTACATCGCCGTCCCCCTGTTATGCGTATTCGGGGGACCCCGTGTGTCCCCAAAATTGGTGTCGTTGATTGTGCCCGGCGCGGGCTCGGTGCGGACGGACTCGACGTTGGCTTGGCGTGGATTCGACGTGGACTTGTCGCGGATCGACGAGCCCTACCTGGAGTCGACACGGATTTGACGCGGATGGCGGCGCGACGAGTCCCCCGACGATGAAGCATAACTGGCCGTTGTTCCCGCATCATTTTGTCCATCCCCGAGGCGTCCCGGGTTGCTTGTTCCCCGCGCCGCCCACCCTCCCCCGGTCCTCCAGAAGGAAAGGCCCGGAGGGACTTTGAGATCCGACAGCGCGAAAACATTTGACCGAGCACAGCATTGCTTAGCTGGGTGGTGGCCCTTGTTTTGTTGTTCGTATCGTTGTTCGTTGTTGCTCCGTTATCCTTCGTTTCGGTGTCGTTATCGTTTGGCACCAGTTTCGATCGTTCTAAGCGTTCGGCTTCGTTGCGTTTCCGCCCTCCAAACTCCATCGAGTTGTTTCCACATCGTTGTCCTCGGTTCCTGCATTTGAACAAAAGGGCATCAGAAGTCACGACCAGAGCCCTGGACCCAGCATCTTTCCGCGGCATCTGCCGAGCGAGATCGATCCGCGAGGGCCCCAGAGCCCGCAGCCGGGCAGAGCCGCCCGCTGTGAAAGAGAGGCGACGCCGGGGTCTCGGGGGAGGGCAGCTCGGTGTCGGAGGTCGCCGCAGCGACGGCGACGGCCACAAGTCGGGGCCAGGTTTTTTGGTCAAGGAGAGGCATGCGTGCCCCTTCCCCGCCCCGCCCGCCCGCTCTGCGATGCGGGCGTGGTGCACGATGAAGACTGTGTAGCGACAGAGGGTTGTCCACTGACGGCCAACGATGGCACTCATGTTTTTTGTTGTGGGTCGATGAGTGATTCATCCCACAACCAGCGGCGGACAAGTCGGCCGGCCAGGCGGCGGCGCCTCCACCCATCAGCTGAAGGACCGGAGCTCGCTCGCCATCCGCCGCCGCGCCGGGCCGCTTCGGGGGGGGGGGGGGAGTCTCGCTTCTGAGGGTCGTTGCGGTACTTGCTTCCAGTGGGCGGACAGCAAGGGGGAGGGAGAGAGAATGAGAGAGAGAGAGAGAACCAGATGAGCAGAAGGTGCCGATGCCGCTGCCCCTGCCTCGGTCTCGCCTTTTGTGTTGGTCTCCTGGGAGGCCACCGTTGGATTCGCCTCGGAATGCTGGTCCGAACGCAGCGCGGGAGAGGTCGCGAGCAGCGAACGTATCCGTATCCGCGCCCTCACGCGCAGGATGCCCCGCGCGGGGCATCCGCGGAGAAGCGCCCCCGTGTCCGCGGGGTCACTGTCCAGGGGCTCAGCCCGCGAGGCCGCGGATACGGTAATATGTCAGGAGGGGAAAAAACACACAGACACAATTAATCGGCGATTCCCAGAAAATATGGGGAAATATGGGAAGTGGGGGGGAAGACAAAAACTTAGAAAATATGAGAAAATATGGGGGATATTTTTATTTGTGTGTATTTATTTGTGTGTCTCAGTTCCCCTTCATAATATGCTTCGCCCACGAAAAGGTCTGGGGAGTAGAGGTATCCGTATCGGTAACTTTTGGTTCCCCCCGAGAGGGGAGAGTCGGACGGGGCCAGGACGAGGATAGATCTGTTCCAGGGGTTCTGAGGAGGCCGTGGCGCCCGAGATCTCATCCGGAGCCGCCAGATCGCAGAGGTTCTCGATTTGCATTCTTCTGTCATTAGTTTCATCTTGGCTTCGTCTTAGGTATCTGTATCGATACCTTTGAGTTTCCCCCGAGAGGGGAGAGAGAGAGAGAGGGGTGGGAGGACAAGAAAGGTCAGGTGGAGAGGGCAAGGCAGGAGAGGCGGGAGGACAGGAGGAGGGAGGGGCTGGACTAGCGGGTGATGTTGGAACCTCCCAATGTTCGTTGCACTCATACACGCCAGTCGTGCCAGTCGTTGAAAGTAGGTTTTTTTGGACTCCCAGATCCCAATCTACTTTAGGCGCCTCCCTAGTTCTGTCATGGAGTGCCTGTTCCTCTTACTTTCTCTTCCGTGGGCGCGCAGACGCCCAGTTTATAATAGAGGCCCCCGGCCGGAGCCGTGGATCCGGGACGATCCCGCTGTCAGGAGGACGCCTTCGCCCCAGCGCGCTTGTTCAAGCGTAAGTGGTTTAGAAACAGCTTGGAGGCATTGCGTGGGCTTCTTGAGGGGCCTCCACGACGCATCTTCGAGGCCTCCTGGGGGGGGGGCGTCTTGGAGGTGACTGTGGAGCCTCTCGGGGGCCTCTTGGGCTTCTTGGGGGGGCATGCAGGAGGCACTGTGGAGGCCTCCTGGGTGTGCAGGAGGTATTTTTTTAGGTTTCGGGAGCGCTTTGGGGCGCCTTTGGGGGGCCTCTTGACGTATCCCAGCTGCGCCCAGCTGCGCCCTGTCGGGGGACTTTGGGATGCGCCCAGCTGCGGGCCCTGGGAGCATCCCAAACAAAATCATGCGAATGTGCCTTGATCGGGGATGCGTAACAGCATACAATCACGCCATGGGAGCCCCGTGGAGGCACCTTGGGGCCATCATGGGGCCCTCTTGAGACCCTTTTTTTAAAAAGGTGTCGTTGACGTTTTGGGGCCCTCCGGGGTCCTCTTGGGGCTCTTCTTGGGGGGGTCTGGAGAGGACTTGTGGGGCCATTTCGGGACCATCAAATGGCAGCTCTTATGTCATCCCCCGCCCATCGGTTGCGCGATCTTGGAGGCCATCTCGGGCGCACCAACCACTCACGAAAGGCCCCGTCCACACCCACGGAGAAGGGGTAGGAGGAGGCAAATCTCTGCCCAACAGGAAACGGGAGATTGGAACCGAATAAATTCAAAGGAAAATACACGCTGCATGACGATAAGTTATTGGAGCTCAGCGCGGATTCCCTGAATCGGCGCTACCCCCCCCTGGCGGCGCCACTGGCGTCGCCCAGTGGCGCGCCCCGCGCGCCACGGAGGGGAGTCCAGCAGCGCAGATCCAAGAGATCCGCTCGGACCTTCGAGAAATCATGTTTGGGCAGCTTTTCGATTCCCCCCAAAACTCCAAAGGCCAGCTTCGCCCAAGGGCCTGGTGGAGGTTCGTCGATTCAAGTACTCCGGGATCGAGGTCGCCGCCGCCCACGACGACAACGAAGAGGGCGACGACAACAACGGACGACCCGACGACGACGACGACATCACGTCGACGACGACGACGACGACGACGCCTTCGTCTTACACACCCATCAACAGGTGTGGTGGCCCGCGCCGCGCCGCCGCCCGCGGCGGAGGACGGCACCGCTCGCCCCCAGGCCGCGCTCCACGACATCTGCGGCCTGTGCCAGGACGACATCGCGGAGGATCCGCTCTTCGCAGCGTTGGATATGAGAGGCCGAGGGGTCTTGGCACGGTTGAAGATTTTCAGTCGGTTGTTCTCCCACGGGTTTTGTCCAGCAGCGAAAATAGATCCGTACAGGAGCTTGTTGAGGGAATTCGGATGAATGATGTGTTGCAACATCGCTGGTGAGTTTTAGGCTTTCACTTGTTATTCTCCCCCATCCATGTGTCTTAAAGATAATTCCATCCCGGGGGGTTATCATCGTTATCGGGCCTCCCAGGCCTCTCACTGCGGTGCGGGTCCGTTCAAGAATTGCTCGGGGTGAGGAGCCGGTCCCAGGGAAGCAGTCGAGAGTTCGCGGGGGGAAATGAATTAGAACGAGGACCAGCACGAGGATGAGGACGAGGACGAGGAAGATGGGTAGGAGAAAAACGAGGTGGAAGAGGGCGAGGGGAAGAGGGTGGTGAGGAGGAGGAGGAGGAAGGAGGAGGAGGAGGAAGAACGGGAGGACCAGGACGGCGACGAGCAGCAGCAGCAGCAGGGAGAGAGGGAAGGCCCCCCTCTGCTCTCGTCGTCGGAAAAAGAGAAGGGCGGGAGTCTCGCCTCAGTGTTCGGCCTCTGGGGGCCCCCAGTGGACCCCGGGGCAAGCAGCAAGTCTGCTCGGCACGAGGCCCTGGCCCCGGGGGACGCGGCCCAGACCTTTGGGGATCCACGCCGCCACGAGATCGCGGCGTCGGCTCCCTGGGCCTGCCCCTCCGCACGTGCGCAGGCCTTGCCCAAGGGTCAGGGGCAACGCTAGAGGGTGGTGCTCTGGGTTTCTTAATGCAGTCGGGCCGCTGAAAGAAGGAACGCTAAATAAGGAACGAAACCCCTTTTTGGTCCTAAAAGCGCCCCCGTGCCCGAGGAGGGCGAGGGGGACAGCAGTGGAGGAACCTGGGGAACATCGAGCCCCTTCCGAACCCAAACAGTTCCTTATTTCAGCGTCTTGGCTGTAAGCGCAGGGGGGGTACCTCCCCGACGGGGTTCAACCCCGCCTCGTCGTCGCGCTGCGACGGGGGTCGAAGCGCCTTCGGCGCGCGGCGGCTGCCCGCGACGAAGGTCGATGGGGGGGGGGGCTGTCGGCGGGGGTGACGCCTCCCCGACGCTACTTAAGAAACTCGGAGTAGGCTGGGAGGGGCATGTCGGACGGGTCCAGGACGAGGACAGATCTGCTCCAGAGCGTTCCGGAACGCTCTCAAAGCGTTCTGGAACTGAGAAGGCCGCGGCGTCTGAGACATCTCCCAGAGCCGCTGGATCTCAGAGATTCTCGAATCATCCTCATTCGAACTATCCTCGTCCTGGCTTCGTCTTTCCACTGGCAGAAGCACGGCAGTCGATTTCTCTGAGCCTCGCGCTCCAGAGAACTGCCCCTGGCGCGGGCCCCTCGCAGATCAGTCCAGCTGAGGGAATCGCTTGTGCAGCCAGGTACAGTCACCAGGACAGTCGTGGTTCGGTTGGCGCACTCGCATTCTTCGAAAATGAGAGCAGGGCTTCGGACAATATTCGCATGCGGCACGTTCGCTTCTGCTTTCAGGCCAACGTTCACTGCAGGAGTTTGGCTATCGCAGGTCGATTCGTGTGAGGTTCCTGGTTTGCCTGGCGACGCTTGAATTCGCGCAACGGGGGGCGGGTCAACCAAAGCATCGCCGATCTACGAAAAGCAAAATAGTTTGATGATGACGGCACGGCATAGTATCATTCTTCGGAGTCTGCGTGCATCTCTTGGATCGGCGTTGGTCCCCCCTCTGGCGCCCAGAGCGCGCAAGGGGCGGCGCTGGAGGCGCCGCCATGGAGGCCCAACGCCGACCAAAGAAATCCGCGCGGACCTCCGAAAGTGCATGTTGATGCATTTGCGCGTTCCTCTAGGCTGGCACTTTTGCATCCTCCCCGCCTTCCTCACGAGCGAGGTATGGCGTCTTTCCTGTTTTGGGCCAACTTTTCGGATCCGACCGCATGCCGGATCCGACTTCATCAGGACGAGGCAGCGTGCAGAGGAGCAGCAGGAAGGACCAGCAGGAGGAGGAGGAGGAGGTTGTTCTCCATTCTTTTCGCTTATGAATAACTCCTGCCTGTCGCGCCCCGACGCTGGTCGAAGAGGCGGGCCAGGCGTTTCCCTTGAGTCCTCCTTTCCACGTATGGCCATGAAGCTTGAAATTTGCAACAGGTTGACCGATGGATGGCGGACGGTTTTCAAAATGCGGTTCTCGCTTCAGCACCGCGCGCACTCGTTTTGAAAAATTGCCACAGCTCCACAGATTGAGGGCGGGCCGTTTTCAAAATGTGTCTCTCGCTTGAGCGCCGCGCACTTTCAGCGCAAACAGGTGCAAGAGTTTCACGCCGTGCTCCTTGTCAGCATGCGGTTCTCGCCGAAAAACGCCGCGCACATTCGTTGCAAAAGTTTGCAGGAGTTTCACGAATTCTCATGGTTAGCATCTCAGAAATGGCGGTGTCGAACGATTCCGGACTGCTTTTGGTTTTTGTATGAAACGCACTGGGCTCGACCTCGCCGTTGCAGGGGTCGACTTCCCCCGTCGCCCAGGGGCTGGGCGGGAAAGCCACATGTTTTCGCCACGGTCAGTCGTTTGGTTTCGTGGCTACGGGGTGTGCTGGTGGATCTATCGCGCGCGTCACGGACTCTCTCACTGATGGCATTGGGTCTGTCTGCGCGGACGAGCGCGATAGCAAATGTACGATGCAACTGTCATCCCACCGCATTTTGCTACGGGGGAGAACCTGCTGGGCGGTGTTGGTGAGCAGGTGCGTGAGCTGATGGAGGAGTTCGGCTACACAGCGCTCGGGGTCCGAGATAGAGTCGAGAACAAGATCGGCCAGAACGGATGTTCGAGCCGGGTTGACTACATGTTTGGCCCCATTCCTGCGCAGAGCCTGACAAGCACGGCAGGACTTTTGATGAGAGTGATGAGACAGCATCAGCGCACCCCTTCCCGTCACCCACGATATCACATACGTTTGCACTGCACAGTGAAGTGGCCTTTTTGTTGGACCTGAGCAGTTGGGAAAGTCGCGTTGCCAATGGAATTTCGATTGCATGAAGCATGCTTCTCTGCGAGACTTGTTTTTTGGATCGCACGGCCGCCAAGCTTCTTGAGCAGGATGCAGCCCTCGAGGCTGAGCCTGCAGCTGGCCGTCCAGATGCATTTTTTCAGTTTTGGGTAACAGTGTGCAGGGGCAGGCTTGCGAGCTTCTCTGCGGCTCTCTGCCAAAAGCATCGGAAGCAGATCGGGAGCAGGCCTTCGCGCGCGTCCTGCCAGCGCTCGGAATGGCGCGGAGGAGGAGGAGGTCGCTAACACACTGAATCAGGTCAGCAAACAGCGTCAGCAGTTACGAAGTCAGAAGCTCAGGGAGTGGAGGGGATGTCACGAAGGACTTGGAAGGGGCATGGCGAAAAGGAAACTTGAAAAAAGCCCACTGTTGAATGCGCGTTCTTGCCTGCAGGGGGCGCGGGCCCCGCGGTCGAAGGCACCGCCACCTTAAACAATCATATTTCCAAGCGCTGGCCAGTCGCTTGAGGCACGGGAGAAGGAGGGCCCACAAGGGGGCATGGAGGTTATCGAAGCGAACGAAAACATGGAGGAGGGGACGCGAGGGAGTTTGCGGTCTCTCATTGTTGAGAAGGTTGGACTTGTTGTCGATGCCCATGCATTTGACGCGCACTCCCAAGCGGAGACCCTGCCCGCCGTGGAGCGTGCTTGCAGAGGCATGGGGCATGAGCACGGACCCAGCTTTCTGGTCTGTCTATTTGTTTTTCTGGCTTTGGCTATTCAGTCGGGTTTAAGCCTGGACCGCCGCGGGATGCTTTGTCTCGCGGCCTGCAGTTCATGAGATTGACCAACAGATTTCCTAAGTTGTGGGATCGAAGTGATGGCTGCGCCCTTCCGAAGAATGCCACCCAGGCCCCAATGGGGGGCGGGTGGTTCACTTGCTGGACACGTTGGGCAAGGCTTGGCTGTCCGGGGCGACCGGGCGCTATAATTCGCCCCCGCTCGGCCCCAACGATCACGGGCTCTGCTGATGGAGGGGGAAGGGGGCCATGCTCGCCCCTCATCGTCTCAGGCTTTCTGGTGGCAGCTTTACTTGGTCCAGCGAGGACCTCAGCGATGCTTTTCCGAGTACTGCATGGGGTCTTTGGGGGGGAGCGAATTCTGCTCTTTTGGGCTTCCCTGATCGCAAGTGTGGACGTGATAGATTCGAGTCCGCGAGTAGTTGCCCTCCTGCTCGCGACCGCGCACTGGCGGTCAAGCCCGGGCGCGGAGCGCCCATGGGCGATCCACATGCAGTCGAGAGCTTCGGCGGGGCCTGCGAGATCACCGTCTGCGAGGGGGGTGAAGCACTGCGCGCCCAGTTACCATCAGAAGAGCCATCGGCGGCGACGCGCCCGATCACGGGCATGGTCGTTGATCTGCCTGTGACGAAGTACGCAGACGATTCAACCAAGCTGCGCTTTGCCGGTGGTCCGTTTTCTGCGTTCCGACGCGGGCATGTCGGGGTTTGCGGCCATCAGATCTCACTCCGACGAAATCCTGGATGGGGTTCTTAAGATAGGGGGTGGTGTTCTTAAGATAGGAGAACGCGGTTGCCCGTCTGTCTGGCCAGCGCCCATCTGCCGCGAGTCGCCGTCTCCAGGCCTCTGCAGCTACACGTTTCGAAGGTTTTGTTTCTCCGTCTATGAGGGCGCTGGGAGGCGGGATTCATTCAGCGGGCTCGATTGCCCTCGAGGCCAACAGACGTCTTAACACCATCAAGAGTTCCTTTCACTCCACGGGCAGGTTTTGGTCGACTCCAGGGATTCCGTCTCGTCTGAAGAGGTCGGCGCTCATCGGCGAGGGGCCCGGGAAGTAGGCTTTCTTGGCGGAGAGGCCACGTAAGAGATTGGGTTCTCTCTCGGCCAGGCATTGCAGGGCCGCCACAGGCGGGCCAGCTACGAGGGCGCCGCTCGCGCGCAGAGATACAGCAACGAGCAGGCGCTC